TTATGTCCCCATATGGCAAGGCTAGTGCTGTCAAAGCCCAGCCACATGACAACTCCCACAGCACCACTATGGAAATGTTCTCATCAGCACAAGAAACAAAAACGGCTTGCTTTCTAGCAAGTTTCCAATTTATATAAAATTCTGAGGATTAGACCACCGACAATAGGGATGAACTAATATCTGAGAGCAAGTTCTCACAATTGATTGCGGACCGGTGTCCTTTGGTGAAGACACTGTAGAGAATGGGCCAATGTAACAGATCAGAATAACTGCAGTGTATTCTTTCACGGTTGGCCACTGATTACAGTGTATATCTGAGGAAGATCTGCTATGGCTCTAACAGGCAAGGAGAAGTCACCATTGTTACTTGTCCTTCAAAATGCAAATGAAACCCTGTATGCATTTGGAGAGGACCATCCCCTGGCTGCATCGAAAACCTCACTAAGGAGCACCTGTGGGGATTCCTCTCATGGGCTCATTCTCTGAATATCTGGTTCCACTTCAGCAGGATTTTTTTTTTTTTTTTTTTTTTTTTTTTTTTTTTTTTTTTTTTCTGATGCTCTGGCGCATCCTAACTGACTGTGTTCAATTAAAAGGTAATTCAATTTAAATAGGTAGCAACTAAAATTCATCCCCAAATAGAAAACATTTCAACTTTAAATTCCCCAATATTTAAAAGATTCAAGAAGCAAACAGATGAAGCTGAGTATTAAGGTCACAACACCAAGCCTGCCTTTCATTTACATTTTCAGCTCTGAACTTATTGCTATGCAGTTTCCTAGATCACTGCAGACACTCGGTGGCCCCTTGTTGTCTCCATGGTGCCCACAAGGGGAAGGTTTGAGCATAGCTTTAACTGATTGGAAGGTTATGGAAAGTGTGTGGACACAGCGGGTACTGTACCTCACAAGTGTTCTAAGTCACTTCTCATGATGGACAGACTGAATTCACCATTTGCAGGCTGGGCATACAGTGTGAGAGGTCCTCTCCATCACTCACCTGATGGACCTCACAGCTAGGTACTGAAAGCAACAGCAATGCCATTTGGACTACAAAATGGCAGTGCTCGGGAGAACAGCTGTAATCTTCTCTTGAAGCTTCAGATAAAGACAGAAATCAGCTTTAGCATCTGCTATTTCCTCAGCACTTACCAAGTGAATCATGGATTAAACATGGTATCTTAAAAAAAAATAAATCATAGCAATCTAAGTGATAAGTATCATCCTTATTTTAAGATTGGGACCCTGAAGAATGCAACAATGAAGTGGCTTGTCCATGGTCACAGGTCACTGAACTAGGTGACAATATTCAAGAACTAGGGTATACAGAGCCTGTTGCTCATTTTGTTATGTAATCTCTCAGTGACAGTGCTTAAATTCAAAGCAGGTACCAGGTAAATCTGCGCACATTAGATAAAAGCAAAGGACTGCAGTGGACTAGAAGACAATGGAAGAGAGAATACAAGTTTACACCTGAGTTGGAGATCAGCTCCCTGAGGAACAGATAACTGAGGAAAACCTCAGAGAGGAGAGGGACAAATCCAGAAGAAGTCAGGCCAAGAACATCACAGGAGGAAGGAGCTATAGCAGGAGCAAACAAGGAGGGTCAAGGAGACAAGAGCATGGGCAGAGGGGATAGTACACAAGGGACTGGATGGATTATGTAAGGTTTGCAGTTAGAAAGGTAGTCTTTCCTTCCTTCTAACTCGTCTGTGAAGTTATGTGGGTTTTAAGAAAACAGGGTCACAGGCCAGGCGTTGGTGGTGCATGCCTTTAATCCCAGCACTCGGGAGGCAGAGGCAGGCGGGTCTCTGTGAGTTTGAGGCCAGCTTGGGATCCAGAGCAGGTGCCAGGAGAGGCTCTAAAGCTACACAGAGAAATCCTGTCTTGAAAAACTAAAAAAAAAAAAAAAGAAAGACAGAAAGAAAGAAAGAAAGAGAGAGAGAAAGA